CATTTTTCTGTCTCCTTCTGAAAAGTTTATTAAAAACTGTTGAATAAGAGCAGGGTCACAAGTCCTCCACATGTCCAGTAGGTTGGGTTCAGTTATTCAGTCACCACCATGTTAGTATTTGTCTGCCTTAATACCATTCAGCCACAAGTCTCTGTCTTGTTTCAGGACTTTGTGAGAAAAAGGTACCTACTGGTCATTGAAATCAACAATACTATTTGTCTATCATTCTCTTCGTTGGGCTACAGTGACTTTACCAGTGAAGGAAATGGGGCCAGTTTGCAATAATCTGATTCAAGTCAACATTTGTCTACCCTTAGTAATTATCACTTTCATGTTTTGTTTTCATAATTAATATATTTAATTATTTAATCTAAAATTTTATTAAGGTTGCCTCTGGTTTTGTTTTGTTGTTGTTGTTTTTTTAAAGTCATTCTTATCTCCTTTTTGGAAATCAGATTATCTGTTTTTGTCACCTGCTTTTTTCTTTTCCAGGAATATCAAAAATTGTATCTCAGGGTTCCATAGTAGCATCTGCAGGCTATTTTAAAAGCATAAGCATTTAGACTTAGCTTTATTTAAAACAACTAAGTACTGTCTTTATAGATCTTTACTTTTCTGGCAATCACGTTGTTATAATTCATTTAATAGACTTTGAACATGTAAGTGATTTTGTCCTCTGTGCTAAGGATATAGTTGTGCACACGAAATTACAGTAAAATGAGGGAGACACAAATGGACAGGAAGTGGTCACAGAGTAGAATCATCCCTAAGAGTGTAATAGGAGCCCCAGGTATGGCAGGGAATTCTGGGACTGGTGGTGGCAGCACATTATCAGATTTGTATTTTGGAAAGATCCTGCTGGCCTTATTTGAGAATGGAGCTTCTCAATCTGGAATGTGCATTGGAGTGCCTAGGGCAGATTCTGACTCAACATCTCTGAAGGGCATACTGAGATTCTGAGGTTCTGTTTCCAACATGCTCCCAGGTGAGGCTGATGCTGATGGCTCATGGACTACATGCTGAGGAGCAAGGCTGCAGGGAGGGATTAGACAACAGCTTGCCAGTAAAGAGCTGGGTTGCAAGGCTGTTGCAAGAATCTGGGAAGAAGATGACCAAGGTACAAATTGGAGGACACTTACTTCATTCTTTGAAGTTTATAGATTGAGCAACTTTGCAAATTAATATGTATGTTAACAAGATGTTCATATTTTCCTCTCATCTCTCAACAACAATACAGGTTAAATTAAGGAAAGAGGGAAGGAGAGTTGGCTTTCCATCTTAGTTCTTAGTAACTGGTCTGGAGCTTTGGCCTGCATTAGGCTGAGGCCTTAGTTATCTCATCTCATCTGTAAGATGAGAAGTTGGTTGAAATGGATGGAATTGTATGCCTGCCAAGATTCTTGTGTTGAAGTCTTTACCCTCATGCCTCAGAATATGACCTTATTTGGAAATAGTGTTTTTGCAGATGTAGTGAGTTAAGGTGATGTCATATTGGAAAAAGATAGCCCCCTAACCCATTGGACTGGAGTCCTTATAGAAAGGGGATATTTGGGGGCTGGTGTTGTAGTATAGTGGGTAAAGCCACTGCTTACAATGCCTGCATTTCATATGGGGTTTGGATCATCTCCCAACTGCTCCACTTCTGATCTAGCTCTCTGCTAATGGCTTGGGAAAGCAGTGGAAGATGGCTCAAATGCTTGAGTCCCCTGCTAGAGATGTGGACGAAGTTGCTAGTTCCTGGATTTGGCCTGGCCCAGCCCCAGTTGTTGCAGCCATCTGGGGGAGTGTGCCAAAAGGTGGATGATCTCTCATTGTCTCCCTCTCTCTCTGTAACTCTAATTTTTAAATAAATAAATAAATAAATGGGGGGTGGGATTTGGACACGGATAAAGAAACAGGGAGAGAGTAAGGAGAAGTTCAGAGTTTTGATGCCACAAACCAAGGAGCTGCCAGAAGGAAGGAGAGAGACTTGACACGGGCAGAGCCTTCCCTGGCACCTTCACATGTAGGGGCTCTGTGGATACCTTGGATTCAGATTTCTACCCTCCAGACCTGGGAGACAATGAATTCTGTTGTTCTCACCCACTCTGCTTGTTGCACATTATTACAGTGGCCCTAGCAAGCCAATATACTGATGTACATCTTTAGGTGTGACACACTGTTCAACACATGTCCTATAGAAAAATCAGACCAGGGACCAACACTGTGATGCAGCAGCATCAGCCACTGCATGCAGGGATGGCATCTCATATCAGAGCACTGGTTCAAGTCCTGGCTCCTGCACTTCCAATTCAGCTCCCTGCTAATGCACCTGGGAAAGCAGCAGAGGATGGCTCAAGTCCCCCTCTGTCTCATGTCTACTTATGCTCTCTTTACAGATTTCTACTAAGGTGTTTGACTGATTCAACCCAAAGACAATACCAACTTGAGGCCTCACCTTGAGGTTGTAAACACTGTGGGGGAGACAGATTCTAGGACATATAAGATAGTGGTGGATCTCTCCTTATCCCAGTAACATTAGGCCTGCTGAGAACTATTTTTTGTTGAATCATACCAGGATATTTATCAAAGCATGTGAATTAGCTACACTGTGTCATCCTGTTGGATGCATAAAGTTCTTAGAAAGCAGATACAAAGAAAATCGGTGTCATGGATGATACAGACTATTTTAGTTTAGAACTGTGTTTCAATTTATAATTAATTGAGGCAGGTCGTGGTGCAGTAGGTTAAGCTGCCACTTGGAAAGCCTGCAACCCATAATGAATTAAGTGCCAGTTTAAGTCCTGGCTATGTCACTTCTGATCCAACTCCCTGCTAATGTGACTAGGAAGCAGTAGATGCTGGTTTAAGTACTTGAGTCCCTGCCACCCTTGTGGGAGACTTGGTTACAGTTCCTGTCTTGTGGCTTCAGCCTGGTCAAGCCCTAGCTATAGTGACCATTTAGAGACTGCACTAGTGAATATAATATCTTTCTCCCTTCCTCTCTCATTCTCACTCTGCCTTTCTAATAAATGAAGTAAATCTTAAAATAATTTACAATTAATTAGCTGATTTAATGTACTCTTATTTCCTAGCTTTTGAAATTTAAATATAAAGAGGAAGATATGACATCTTCTCACATAAAGTATTTCTTCCTATTAAAAAAAAAAAAAAACAACAAGATCTCCTCTCCATCCTCATATTAATAGCATATTAAGCTTGATACCCCTGGAAAAAAAAAAGTAGTTTTAGTAGTTTTGAATAAAATGAAGCTAAACAAAATACTTAAAGAGGAAATTGAGTTAATAAAGTCTTAATGTAATCTTTCAGGTAGAAGATCTGAACTGGGTATCCAAAATAATCTTATTTACTTTTCATGATAGTGATGGAAATTTGACAGATATTGAAATAATCACTAACCTTATTACAGTCTCTTAGTTTTCTTATCTACAAAGCAGAAAACTTGCCTTCTAGGCATAGGAGATAAAAGGGATGGCAAACACTTCATAGAAAGAGATTTGATTGGTTTGAGTAAGCATTTTGAAGATCATAGTCACTGGAAAGGTACTTTACATACTCTTTTTTCTTATTTAATCTTCCTAACAACCCTGCTAGTTAGGTGTTGTTTTACAACCAATTTATATATATAGAATCTGAGGCCAGGGAGATCAATCCACATTTCCAATGTCAAAGGCCAATATGAAACAGAGCTGATATTCAAACTTACATCTCTCAGCCCTGTAAGGGTCCCAAATGTGAGCCAGACATGGGAACTCTGGGTTCAGGGATTAAGGGTGGAGCAGTAAAACCTATTTGCTTTTTATGTTTTTTTTTAAAGACTTTTATTATTTATTTGAAAGACTAAGTGACAGAAATAGAGAGACAGACAGAATGAGAGAGATCTTCCATCTGCTGGTTCACTTCCCAAATGACTGCTACTGAGATTTCTGGCCAGGCTGAAGCCAGGAGCCCATGCCTCCATCTGGATCTCCTATGTGGGTGGTAGGGGCCCAGACACTTCCTCTTTCACTGCCTTCCCAGATACATGAGCAGAGATCAGCCAGCATGGAATTACAGCCCAGGACCCCCACTTGCCTTTCTGAAGCCGTTGTGGAGCCTGTTCATTGTAATCCTGGTCTTGATGACCTTGACCCAGTAGGCTTCCAGCTACATCCCAAATCTTAATTTCTGAGGACCTGCCAGGTGTCTTTGATGGAAGTCAAGTATAGTCACTATTGCTTTCCATACCTATATTCAATTATGCCCTCATATTTTTGTTTGTGTGTATATTTTTTTATTTGTCAGCGTGTGGATTTTTGAAATAGAGGAAAGACCTGAAGAAATAATCTTAGGAGGGAACAGCCATGATTGACTCACTATCACTTACATAAGAAAGGCAGGTCTAGTAACTTTTCGCCTTTCGTGAATCACCAAAACTCCGCGGAGAAGAGCTGCTCACACCCTTCTGAGACAAGCCTCTAGTGAATTCTAGAGATCTATGTGTCCTCCCTCCAGTGTGACTGCGGTAAGTTTGGAAGGTACTTAACTACCCTCTGAAAGCCCTGCTCAGTGGAAGATCCGATGTTAGCAAGAGTAAGTGAAAACCTTACACGTTATGATATATTGTTCCTCCCACTCCTTTAATTTATAACAAGTTGCCTACCAGCCCTCCTCCTCTACCCCTCTATAATACATTACCACACGTGGCCTATTACCACGCAGATGAGGAGAAGCCGCAGTTCTCCATTAATATTTATAAATGTCACATTGCTCATATTTCCCATCTCTTTGGAAAATCAGCCTGAGTAATTAAGAAGAATGGGGAATTATAAAGAAGAAAAATATCAGGAAAACAGTGCACATGGAAGTTATCAACACTATTTTAATTCATTTGTAGCATCTTAATGACTTAATTTTCCACAAATTGCATTTTTTAAATGTAAATTTCCGGGTTTAAAAAAAAAAAACACAAAACTTCATTATCAGCCAAGCAAAACATATTTCTCAAGCAGTAAACTTACATGTTCGGCTTCTCCGCAAGATATCGAAAATGTTTACCTCCAATGATTTTCACCATGATCTTGGGCATTGCATCTGAGTCCTGAGGATTCTTCCAGTGCAAAGACATGATACTTCTCACAACTTCTTCAAATCTGGCAGGTAGAAAATCAGCAAATTATTTCTTTTGGCTTTTCATGTGGCGACTTGCAGCAGTCTTGTCAACAACAACAAAAACAGTGTTTACAGCACCACGTGCTTGCCAATGAAGGAGTTTGAACACACCATTTTGGTGTATTGACCATGGAAATTAGTCACTTGATAGGGGCTGGCATTGTGTAACGTGTGGCCAGTAAGACATCTTATATGGGCACTTGTTTGTGTCCTGGCTGCTCCATTTCTGATCTAGCTCCCTGCTATGGCCTGGAAAAAGCAGTGGAAGATGGCCCAAGTGTCTGGGCCTCTGTCACCCACATGGGAGACCCGGCTCCTGGCTTCAGCCTGGACTACCGCTGCTTGTTGCAAACATCTGGGGAGTGAACCAGTGGATGGACAATCTCTCTCTCTTTTTCTCTCTCTGACTCTTTCCAATAAATAAATAAATAAATCTTTTTTTAAAGGCATTTGATCAATAGGAGGTGTAAAAAACTCACTGATCTTTCTGTGGTTTCTAAATAGCAGAAGCTGAAACTACCATGTGAAAGATGCACCATCCTTATCCTCAAGGATGAGCAGCTGAGATGGAATTCTGGACAGACATTGTTAATGCTTATGTTTTAAGTCTCTCCACATCATTTAGTTATTGCATTACAACTTACTGTTCTTTGTCTTATATTCAGACTATAAATAACTGAATCTGAGTTTTTTTTTTTGGGGGGGGGCAGTTCAGCTACTTATAAGGACTCTTGGGCCGGCGCCGTGGCTCACTTGGTTAATCCTCCCCTGTGGCACGGGCATCCCATATGGGTGCCAGGTTCTAGTCCCGGTTGCTCCTCTTCCGGTCCAGCTCTCTGCTGTGGCCCAGGAGGGCAGTGGAGGATGGCGCAGGTGCTTGGGCCCTGCACCCGCGTGGGAGACCAGGAAGAAGCACCTAGCTCCTGGCTTCGGATTGGTGCAGCGCAGGCTGTAGTGGCCATTCAGGGGGCGGTGAACCAACAGAAGGAAGACCTTTCTCTCTGTGGCTCTCTCTCACTATCTATATCTCTACCTGTCAAAAAAAAAAAAAAAAAAAAAAAAGGACTCTTGTGCCATGTAAAACTTGAAGATATATATTGTTTTTTCTTGTTAATTGGTTAATCTCAGATCCAGTTAGGGCCCTCAAAGCATGGAGTATGCTACATTATCTCACTATTTGTAATAAAGGTATGAGCAAAACACTTTTAATTACTACTATTCTTGACTCACAGTTGGAGGAATGGGTATAATGTAGAAATGTAACTTACTCAACATCCCAGAACCAATAATGAACAGAGCTGGCTGCCCCACCCAAGAAGTGTGCAAAACAAATCTACTGGGGCATTAGATGATCAAATGCGGTCCTTGTGGGGTCCCCGAGGAGGCTGAGGCATTAATAGGTGATATGAATATTCCATATTCAGAGTGCTCTGATGCTCAGTTTCCCCTTTACAAAACCAGGATGATTTCAGCTAGGCTCTCAGGTGAAGGAGAGCGTAACTCAACAGGGAGACAATGTGTTTGAAGCAGCTCTTCTGGCAGGAAAGAGGGAATGGTTATCACCATCAGTTTCTGCAACAATCCAAGCAATCAGAAATTGAGATTTTGCATGACATAAGCACTGATTGTTTAAATAGGTCCAATGCTAATGGTGACACACAGTTCTCTAAACCTGGCCACAGGCTGAACACTTTTTAATAAGGGCTCTTTTAAGACTGAAAGGCCTTTGGAAATCATCATGATCCGAATCCACAGAGTTGAACACTTGCTCTGTGAGTGACCTCCTGCGAATCTGCAACCTCCAGGAAACTGCCTGGAAACTTCAAGGCCCAGAATTAGTTAAGGTTATGTCCCCTCCCTGCCCAGCAGCTGCATGTCAGCCCTGAGCTCAGTCTTACCGCTAGGGTGGTGTGTCCCGACCGAGGGGTTCACAGGTGTGCAGTCCTTGCCTTGCCCAGGAACCCTAGCGGGGAGACCGGGTGGACAGGCACGGGGCGTGGCGACCCGATCCCAGGAATCTGATCAATCACAGCGCCCTGCTCCAGGGCTCAGGCTGCTCCCCCCTCGTCGCTAAGGACGCAGAGGGCTGTTGCTGGAAGGCTGTAGCTGGGCGGGGACCACCACCTGAGCCAGGAGGCGGGCCCTTCTCTGTCTCAGTCTGGAGAGCGACTGCTGACTGGCAAACAGCCCAGATCTTCACAAATCTGTGCATTCCCAGTAATGCAAATATCAACCAGAGCCTTTCTAGATGCGCATCTTGCTCACCGGGTAGCGGCCTTTCTCTTTAGGCTTCAGTTCCCTTTGTGAGATTCGCACATAGCTGGGGATCTTACCTCGTGGATTTGAATTCAGGCGTCTCCCTGCCATCCCTGAATGGATCGTGGAAATCCCTTTTTTGAGACTCAGTTTTCTCATTTGTAAAAAGAAGCAACATGGGCCCAAAAATGAGTTGGTGATGAAATAAGAATAAAATGATAATAATAACTTTGAGTGCCACCCATATACTAGATACCTTATTTAAGCAAGCCATTACCTTGTAAGTTAACAGTTACCAATAAAATAATTTTATTTAAAGACGAAGAAAATGAGACTATGTATGTTACGAAATTACTCAAGGCTGCATAGAGGCAAGGGAGAGGCAAGATTCCAATATAGATCTGTATCGCTTCAATTCCCAGGTGCTTCTGATTCTGCTAAAAGGTGTCAGGAAAATGTGGGTAAAGGTAGTTTGACTACAAAACGGTTTAGTTAATGGCAGTAGCAGCTGTCTTAGCATGCACACCTCCTGCCTCCCACCCTCTAGCTGTTTAGCCATTTCCTGGATGAGCTCCCGGCAGGTGCAGCCAGAGAGGGGCACAGCACTGGACTCCCCTCCAGGGGCTCACCCTGTAGTGGCTGAGACACACCGCGTACCGTGTATTCTATCACATGCAGAGTGCCACTGCAGTAGAGGAGAAAGGGCAGCTCTCTTTCTCTCCTGCAGCCCAGCCTTCCCATTGCTGTGAGATCAGTCTTCCCAAAGCCCAGCTCTCACAGAGTCCCTCCTCTACTCACAAGTCTCCAGGATCTCATCCAGTCCCAAAGAATGTTTCTGCTTTCTGGGGATTCCACATTCTGACCTCACGCTGTATCCCTAGCTGGATCTGCCACTACTTCGAGGCTTGTTCTGCTCCACCCAACTTGGTCTATTTGCCTTTCATTTCCCTGCCTCTGATCCTTTGTCATTCTGTTCCTACCATGCCATTCCAGTTCATCCCTGTGTCAGTCTACTTAGTTATTCCATTTTCTAACTTTTTAACCTAGAAACCTTTTATTTAAGGTATACAAACTTCATGCATTTCATATATATAAGGTTAGAAACAGTGATTCTTCCCACCCTATCCTACCTCCTGCCCACATTCTCACCCTTCTTCTTCCTCCCTCTCCTACTCCCACTCTTATTTTTTACAAAGATCTATTTTCAGTTAACTTTATACACATAAGATTAGTGCTGCACTAAGTAAAGAGTTCAACAAGTAGTATGAAAAAAATAAATAAAACTGTTCCTTAACAGCAGAGACAAGTGTTAGGAAAATGATGCAGTCTTATCTATGGCGCGATCTACACCCTGACACCATCCTAGGCTCTAGCCCCTGCAGCCATTGCTGGAAGCCAGGTGGCCACATGGCCCAACCACCGCTGTCAAGCTCCACCCCCATCCTAATGGGGTCCTCTATTCCTACTTCCCTGCCCGCCCCCTGGAAAAGGGATGTTAGACCCCCTTCCCAGACACGTGCTCTCTTTTTACACATGGCTCTCTCTTGCTCTCTCTTCTCTGTGCTCTCTGCTCTCCTCTTCTTTCCCCCTCTCGTCTCTCTTCTCTCTGCTCTCTCTCTTCTCTCCTCAATAGCTCCTCTCCTCTCTGTCTCTCTCTTACGCTCTCCTTCTCCCTTTTTCCCTTCTTTGCCCTCCGGTCTGCTGGGTTTTCCCCCAATAAACCCTTTCCCTTACTCCGGTGTTTGGTGTGTTTTGTGACAACCTCACAACAAGGGCTGTTCAAAATCATTGGTTCTCAAAGTGTCAATTTCACTTCTATAGATTACCTTTTAGGTGCTCTCTTAGTTACTAAAGATTAGGGAGAACATATGGTATTTGTCTTTTGGGGACTGGCTTATTTCATTAAGTATAATGATTTCCAGGTGTATCCATTTTGCTGTAAACAACAGGATTCATTTTTTTTTACTGTTGTGTAGTATTCCATGGTGTACATAAACCATAATTTCTTTATCTAGTCTTCAGCTGATGGACATCTGGGTTGATTTCTGTGTCTTAGTTATTGTGAATTGAGTTGCAAGTTAGTCATCCTTTAGCTTTATCTCAAATAGTCAAAGGTATACAGTTAGGAATCAGACATCTTGTATTCAAATGGTAGGCCTGTTATCTCACTCCAATCTTAGGCAAGTCACTTCATGTCTTTGTGCCTTACTTTCCTCTTCTGTACAATGAGAATGCGTTTTTGTGGATTAAGTGAGTTACCTAAGTAAAGCAGTTAGAAACATGCCTGACAAATAATGAACAATGTTTGCTATTGTCATTATTTGTCAAGAAGCTGAAGTGGATTTCAGAAGCTGAAAGTGGCTTCTTTATCCTATGTATAATCTGTGGTTTCTCTCTTAGAAAATACATCTTTCTATTTATTTATTTTGCATGTCAAATCTTTCTGGATGATATTTGTGGTTGGTTGCATAATGGCTCCCCCAAGATATTCACATCCTGACCTCCAGAACCTGTGAATGTTATCTGCTATGTCAAAAGGAACTTTGCAGATGTAATTAAGTTAAGACCTAGAGATGGAGAGATTATCCTGTCTTCCTCAGGGCCCCAAAGGTAACAGGAAATGGGGGCGGGGATTTCCCTGCAGAAGAGGCAGTAGAAGGCATGACAATGGAAGAGTGAGGGAGTGAACTGCAGTAGGGGTCATAAGTAGGGAATGCTGATGACTCCAGAAAGACTCTCTAGAAGTGTCCAGAAGGAACCAGCCCTGCTGACCACTTGATTTTAGCCCAGTGAGGCTGATCTTAGACATCTGGCCTACAAAACTGTCAGAGAATAAATGTGTGTTGGAATAAACACGTGTGTGGTAATTTACAGCAGCTATATAGTTTTATAACTTTTTAATTTTTTTTGGAAAAAATTTGTGAAAGTCAAGTGTTCTGTAAACATTTTTTGGCTGAATGAATGCAGAATAAAGGGAAAAGTAAACATCAAGATTTTCTGAAAAATACTCTAATGAACATGCTACTTGCTAGGGTTTTGTCTACTATATCCTATTTCCCATCATTCCTTTCTGTTGATATAACTTTCTTTCCCTTCCTCCCTTCCTCCCTCTCTCTCTCTCTCTCTCTTTCTTTCTTTCTTGCATTTCTTTAGGGGCCGGCGCCATGGCTCACTTGGTTAATCCTCCACTTGTGGTGCCAGAATCCCATATGGCCACAGGGTTCTAGTCCCGGTTGCTCCTCTTCCAGTCCAGCTTTCTGTGTGGCCAGGGAGGGCAGCCCAGGTGCTTAGGCCCCTGCACCCGCATGGGAGACCAGGAGGAGGCACCTGGATCCTGGCTTTGGATTGGCGCAGTGCCAGCCGTGGCTGCCATCTGGGGAGTGAACCAGTAGAGGGAAGACCTTTCTCTTTGTCTCTCTCTTTCTCACTGTCTATAACTCTACCTGTCAAATAAATAAATAAATAAATAAACATACGTTTATTTATTCGATAGGTAGAGTTACAGACTGAGAGAAGGATAGACAAAGAAAGAGGTCTACTATCTGTTGGTTCACTCCTCAAATGTCCACAAAGGCTGGAGCTGGGCCTATCTGAAGCCAGGATCCCGGGGCTTCTTCCAGATTTCCCACATGGGTGCAGGAGCCCAAGCACTTAAACCATTCTCCATTGATTTCCCAGGCCATAAACAGAGAGCTGGATCAGAAATGCAGCAGCCGGGATATGAAACAGTGCAAATATGGGATGCTAATGCCACAGCACCAGCTCCACAGCTTTTTCTTTAGGACCACCCTTTCCCATTCCAGGGAGTCTTTGTGTGTTGTCAATCAAAGTGCTGTTTCTGTTGTGGTATAACTAGGTAACTAGTTTAGGTCTGAGTAAGCTGAAAGTCTCTACAAAATGCCAGTATAATGCCATCTCCTTACTTGTCAATCAAAACGCTCCCTTTCCAGGGATGCACTTGCTGCATTTGGGACCTAAAGGCATGAAACCATGAAAATATGGATATTAAATTCCATCTGGAACTTGTGGAGGTATCATAAAATTCCCAGGTGGTTTCTTGCATGTAGAGGCACCACCCCACCTCATAAAAGAAGCCAAAAATTGAGGGGGACTATGTTAGGAAAATGGCACAGTTTTATCTATGGCGCGATCTGCACCTTGATTTACATCCTATGCCTCGGCTCCGGCTGCCATTGCTGAAAGCCAGGTGGCCACAAGGCCCAACCACTGGTGTCAACCCCACCCCCATCCTAGTGGGATTCCCTGCTCCTGCTTCCCTGCCCACCCTCTGGCAAAGTTTTAAAAGTTCCTGAACACGTGGCTCTCTTGGCTTTTCTCGTCTGCTCTCCTCTCCTCCTCTCGTCTCTCTTCTCTCCTTGCTAGCTCCTCTCCTCTCTCTCTCTCTCTCTCTTATACTTTCCTTCTCTCTTTTTTCCTTCTTCACCTCTTCCCTCCAGCCTGCTGGGTTTCCCCAATAAACCCTTTCCCTTACTCTGGTGTTTGGTGTGCTTTGTGATGGTCTAACAGGCTATCTCTCTTTTCCTCCCTCCCTTTCTCTCTCCCTTTTGCTATGGACCATGGATGGAGGTGCTACTCGGGTACTCCTTCCTGCACTCCTTCTCCACTTGGTTAATCCTTTGGCCCACTCATGACAGATATTTCACCATGTGGGGCAGTCCACACTGATTCATGAATGTATGTTTTCTCCCCTACTGTGAAATAAATCCTGTTCCTATTTGTGTACTTAGATAAATGACTTCACTTGGAATGCTTGGCTTTAAGTGAGGCAAGAACCTAGAGT